ACGGCTTTGCATTATGCGGCATATAGTAGAGACTTTGCGATTTTGCATCCAGAGTCAAATCCAAGCGATCTCATTGGCCCAGAACCCTGTTTGACCCACATCCAGAGCCTTTTCGCAAAGTCTCTAGTGACGAAAAAATAATAACAAACCAACTCCTCTAGTCCGGTGCCCTGTTAAATGCGAAAGAGTGGATCAAGACAACACCTCGTCACCACTTCGTTGGGAACCGTGGAGCGCCCAGGAGCGTGTTGCGAAACTCTTGATTGAGGCAGGAGCAAGTATAGCACTACAGAGAAAAGCGATGAAGGGTATACACCGATTCACTTCACAATACTATACCTAGACTGGAAAGTGTAGCTGATTGGGGATCTACAGCCTTTCGCCCAGCATCACAGCTTGGAGCCAAGAGCGTTTGAATTGTAGAGAGGGTAGCAGCTACTAGCGCAGAAGCGAGGGCAAGAGATTTTCAGTCATCAACGTCTCTACAGTGCTCATACCATCGAAGGCAATACAACAGCAATCAAGGTGTTATAGGTTGTAGGCTGTCCCGCTGCTGAGATAAATGATGCCTATGAAACTTCTCTCCACATTACAGCCAAAATGGAAGTAAAAATCGAGTTCTCCAAGAAACCTTGTCGTTGCGTTGAAGTACAGTACTGAGTTGGCCAGAATTTTAGAAAGATCGGCAAGTTGGAGTCACCAAGAACCCAGACTAGCCTTGGCCAGGCATAACATGGGACTGGTGGTTCTTTTTTGCTTCCTCCTTTTCTGCTTTCCATATCTGAGTCTCTAAAGTTTGATAGGGAATTGGGCTATTAGGGATTTGGAACTTTGAAAGTCTTTTAATGGTAGCAGTAACTGCTGGCTTCCACAATGATCAAGATGCAACTGCTCCGGGATTTTAACTTCCTCCAGCGCACTTTTTCTTTCCATAATGTCAATTCCATGATTCCCGAGATTCCTTGTTTATATCCCTGTTTTGCTCGATTTTTACTTCCATCTCCGAGTACTAGAAGTAATTCAATATACGTATTTCCCATAGCCTTAGTATAGGAACAAATTGATATCCTGATGGCCCAAGACGACAGGGAACGAAAACTAGCCGATTGAGCGAGACGCATTAACTACCTCCAATTGGTATAAAGGCTTAACCTCATTACTCCAAGACCTGTGGGTGGGAGTCATTGCTCCTATTGCGATCGCTTGGAGTGTTGGATAAAGTTTCTGCCCCTTGCGGGGATGGTGAAAGAGAGGACATTTTACAACGTGAATTTCGAAGGGAAGCATGTCTAAGAGTTAACAATAGAGGAGTCTCGTTAAGGATATGTTATCAAGTGTACGTGGCAGACAGTTTGTATACTTATAGATGGTATCGCATGATTGCCGAGACATACAGATATAGATAGAGTGATCGATCATGATCACCAATACTCGAGCATGATCGAGCAGATCACGAGGGTCCTGCTGGAACATGACCTAATTGTGTCCATCACTAGGATCAATTAGGAAGAAACAATATTTTAGCTCAACAATTACGACTTCACAAGGCAGCCGGGGCCAGGGATATCGAAAAGGTCTGCGAGTGTCACTTGAACATTGATCCGAAAAAGCTAAACCCGGATTATTAGGGAAGAACACTATTGCACTGGAGCGCAGAAGGGGGTCATATGCATTCACCCCAACCACTCCTTGATGCCGGAACCGACTCTAACACCGAAGGCAAGTCGACGACAACAGCAGCGTTGCCGCGGGTTAGAGGCAGCCCTAATCTCCCATCTCCCTTCCATCCAGGATGTTATTGTGGGAGCATGGGCCAGTCGAGGTCCCTTTGTAAAGTTTCTTGCACTCACACTTGAATCTGTTGTGGCTGCTCCCACAAATCAGGACCATTAACCAAAGCCGTCCCTGAACAAATGCATACCCGTGGCCAACCGGTAACAAAGCCCCAATCCAGCTATGGTACCGACCAGACACTGATACCTCCAAATCAATAAAGTTGGGGCTGCCGATAGCATAATATTCAAATACAGCAGCAAGACAAGCAGTCATAAATTTTACCTCACCCGGAACCCTTACGGGACTTACATTACTCTCCCGCTTCCCCGGTAATGGCCTGCAACCTGTCCACCTGTTTCCGGGCCAACACTAAGACCTGGGGCAGCTACAATAGCAGTAGAGCTCCGGCAGCGGGTTTTTAGACTCCAATTTCTGGGGGCTGAGATGGTTAAACAAGTTTTTAGCGCTGGCTCTCTCGGATTGGTTTTAGAAAGATGAATTCACTGCGGGAGTGAGGAGGAGCAAACACTCCTGGATAAGTTCAGGTATGATACATGCGCGCTTGAGGTATGGTTTCTGGGGGCTGTTTGGGGGTTTACTCTTGAGGGGTAGTTTCAGAGTGAAGCAAGGTCATACCTGGTCACTCGAGGGTGAGTGCCGAATAGTGTTGAAACGACTTTTTGGGTTGATTGCTAAAGAGAGAGGCGGGAGGTACGTCCGACTATTTATACAAGAAAGAACTAGCCAATGTTTCTAAGGCCCACGCGGCCTCACTACTATCTTGCCAACCACATCACCTGCTAATGTACTACCTTGTGGTCAACCTTAGTTATGGAAGGATGTTCCAACAAATAGCGGTCGGTTTGTAACGAGGCAGACCTTTGACACACCAAAATCGAGGTTTTCCAAGCTTCCATCACCCAACCACCATGGGCGGAAATAGCATGGAAGAAGTTTAAAAAGTAACCTACTGCAATAGCACCCAGATTAACAAACACGTGCTTCTCTCCCCCCCATTCCCCTAGAGTAGTGAGGTGCCGAATGTCCGTTCCCCCAAGGTATCGTATCTGCCAAAACCATGGCTTTTGTATGGGAAAGATACATTGCGACAGAGCTAATCATGTTCATATGCCCACAACCCCCTTCCAGATCCCAAAATTAATAAAAGGTTAAAATTAAAGTATAACTATGATACCATACTTAAGACATGCTAAATTTTGTTTGCCTTTTTTCCTCAAAGCTTAGTTCCAAGATGTCTGTAGAGATATAATGGCCTGAGAACCATCAATTTTGGTGTCTTTGCCTCTTTCTTATTATCAATCGACCCCCCCTGCTCGGACAACAGGACGAGTGATTTTGCGTGACGACATATTACTGGCTCTTATCCTCCCTCCTTTAATTTCGCGGTGTTGTGATATCTAGTGCAATATACTGGAGAAGGAGCTATCTTCAGGTTCCCACAGGACTCCTCCAAATGTTACAGAAACCCCAAATTTCTTTTATAGCCTGTGACCTGTCTAATACTATTCAAGTTTCTTTCTCATAGCCACTGATCCACAGTGCTTCTTTGGTAATAGTTCATGCACTTAAAATATGATAAATACATGACGAAATGACGAGAAAGTAAACAGGATATTAATTTCCCATGGATACCTTTACTTGCCAGTTGCAAGAGGGATAGCAAGAATAAATAATGTGAACTACGATCTTCCTGTTATGATACTAAAATTGCAAAGCTCTGTGATATCTATTCCTTGGAAAAGGTTTCTGAGAAGGTTTTCATAATAGTGTACTACACATGCCAGGTTGCAAGAAAAATACTTTTTTTAATATAATATTATAAAGGATCAAAATTCAGGAAGATTTTATTATAAACTACTACCAGTACTATAGTACTATAGAAGATCAGAATGAAGCCATGTAAATTAATAAGTATTATGACTGATTATCAGGTATACATACCAAGGCTTGGATTATCTAGTTCTTGAGAGAATATAAAGAAAATTGTCTTATTATTTAAGTATTTGGAAATAATAATAACAATAATATTATAAGGTAGAATACTAGATGATAAAAAGTCTTTTTTTTTTTTTCATTTTCGAGGAAAATTATTACTATAATAAAAAGAGCCAAGTCAGCTAGCATATATTTCAACTTCAGTCCTACAGTCCTTCCAGTAGGAGGAAGGCAAGAAGAAGGCCAATTCTTACAGACAATAGAGAACAAATCTTTTACCTACCAGAACAAGCATACAAGTTATTGACTGTAAAAGTTTACTATAGGATTTTTACCAGTAACTAAGGTAGTATAAACAAAATTATCATAAATTTAAAGAAATTATTGTAGGTTAAATAATGGAAATATACATAACCAGCTAAAATATTCTAACTACTTGATAAAGAAAACACATGTCTACTCATTCCTAATACCATAAAAACTCAAATAATCAAAGCTTGTACCATGTCATTAAAGTTACCTCCTCCGATAAGGTCAAGTGTTTTTTTTGTTTATTTATTTCTCTTAAAGGACCTGGGTAGGTCTGTTTTTTCACAGTGTTTTCAATTCAATTTCAAATGGGGAAAATTTGATTTAACTCAGTTTCATCTTGTCTAAGGCACAAATTACACGTACACCACTAACTGTGACAGTGAAAAATCCCCCACTACAGTCCATCTTCCATATACTAGCTAAAAAAAACCCTCTCTGCAGAATTTAGGAAGAAAAACTACTAGGACAAACAGGGAACCGAATATAATAAACCAATAACCTCCACAGGTAAGGGCCAGTAACAATAGCCTTATCAGAACACTCAATCTCCCTTCCAAACATGCTTCCTTGTACTTCCAGGCTCAATTCCTTATCTGAATCCAGGACGCAGGTTGAGGCAGAAGACAAATTGCCCCCAAGGCATGGCGGGCTGAATTTCCTAACCATCTAGTCTATCTACTAACATCCATGTTTAGCCAAAGGAGATACCTTGATTTCAATGCTACTAGTACACACGTGTTTGGTATGAGAAGTATAATGCCAAGTAGAAATTTTGCACAGTGCTGAATTGTTCTGGAAAGCGATTTTCTTCGGATAGGGTTCTGTCGCAGAAAAATACGACAGATCTCTGACATTTTCGATTCCAACAATTTCTCACTCATCCAGCCACATTTGGCATAACTGAAATGGATTTGCTATTATTATCCCACATCTTCCATCATTTGAGGTATTTCCATGGGCGCATGGTTTAGGGGTATAATATCCCATCTGCAATGGTCTCGTTGAGGGCCCGAAAATTGAGACCGTCCTGGGTTCGATTCCCAGTACGTCCATACTTGTGTTCTCTTTCGTTTCTGCATGCCACTTGGACCTGGGGGGGGCGGGGCTTGGTTAATTTGAATTGTGGGAGGGGGTCAGCGCAAACACTTTTGTTTAGAAATGCGGGAAATGAAAAATGTGCCCGAAAACAGGTGGGATATATTTGGTATTGACCCTCAGATACGATGCTCACAGATTTTTTTACCATATATATCTTTAATCCCTATTTTCAGGTATTTGCGGCCTTAGACAAGTGCGGTTGTAAATGGAGTCGTTCAACACCATTCCACAACCAGGATAGGAGGGTAACACATGAGAAAGCATATCTGCACGCTTAAAAGTAGGCGGCTTTCCCAAAGGGAATGAAAGGCCACTAGGAGGCGATTTAGGTAGCCCTCGCTGAGAATGGCAATAACAAAATGTATCATAACTAATATGATACGAGCATCTAACTATTTGAGCACGCGGGCCGTTCAACTCAAGTTATAAACTTCCCACACCTGCATTAGCCCCTCCGGCTGCGCAAAAGGCCCTCACCACCAGAGACCGTACTCCACGCCACAAACACCGTTAGGGAAAATCACCAGCCACACCCATATAATAACAATAACAATATTATTATTATTATTTGCCATAGCTTACGCTGCATGCACGTTCTTGTACCTAACAAGCAATATATGATTTAAAAAAAAAAAAAAAAAAAATATTATTATTATTATTATTATTATAGTGTCCACCAGCCATCCCAGATCCAATCTGCATCTTCAAACAAACTGACATCACACACCCTCACTCGCCGATCCCTACCATGGCCCCCTTCAACCTCTCCGCAACCCTTAACGCTTTGAGAATCCTAAAGTCCCCGACACTCCTTTGCCCACAACTTACGATTCCCACCTTCGACCATCTACCTATCCCTCTTTCCACCGCACTAAATGCAGATATCCGCGCGGTAATCTTGGACAAAGATAACTGCTTCGCGGTGCCATATGCCAAGGAAGTTTACCCGGCTTACAAAGATACGTTTGAGAAGCTAAGAAAGGAATATGGAGATCGGCTATTGATTGTTAGCAATTCGGCAGGAACAGATGACGACATTGGCCATGTCGAGGTTTGATATGCCCCCACCTTTTGAATCCGAGAGGGTTCTTGGACTGATGTGGAATTGGCTAGGCGGAGGTATTGGAGAAGAATACAGGGGTGAAGGTCCTGCGTCATTCCACTAAGGTACTGACCTCCCGGGTGTGGTTTGTAAGAGCGGAGATGGGTTGACAGGGTGACTAGAAACCGGGATGTCACCCCGACATCATGAGGTACTTGACGAGTAAGACGGGTGTCAAGAGAGCGGACCAGGTCGCAATTGTGGGGGATCGGCTCTTCACAGACGTTCTCATGGCAAACATAATGGGGTCTTGGGCAGTTTGGGTCAATACGGGAGTGGTAAATTCTGAACGGACTTTTGTATGTTTTTTCTACTTGGATCCAGCATTAAATGCTGAAGTCGCTAATATTGGGAGTTTAGTATGGGCAAACTGAGAGAGGGTTATTGGGTGTCATTAAGTGGGGTGGCGGAAAGGCCCCAGTGCCGACTAGGGGTGTTTGGGGGTAGAATAGATGCTTCCCATGCAGTGCCGTGCTTTTGGTGCTAGCGTTCGGGGGTTGGCATCTGATTGGGTCTGATGGATATCGATCCCTCAGGCTCTGGCGGGAGTTAAGTGTCTCTATTATTCCCGCTTTGTTGTCTACGAGTATTTCTCCTGTGAGGGGGAGCTGTTTCTGTGCTGTGAAAATTCTCTTGTCTTCCGTGAGCAACCAGCGCGCCTAGCTCTCACGAGATCTGTTAAACACTGTATCATAATATCCCTGGCAATGAGCAGCAATTTAGGCTATCTTAAGATGAGATCCAAGTAGCAAATACCGAGTGATTACAAATGACTGATCATGACCTTTGCGGCAATAAATTGGGGAATTTAAATCCGATCATCGGGACGGGACAGGACGAGAAAAGTTCGTTCGCACTGCCCACCCGGGCTCCTCAGAATTGCCGCGATTCCTCAGGATACAATGCTAAGAGCCTAAGACAGAGTGACGATCGATGACGCGGCTTGGGGCTGAGCCGCATGACAAAGGCCTTGTTGTCCTTAACATTCCCATCCCGATTTCTATTTCGGAGCTCCAGTCCAAATCCCTTTTCACTTCGACGAAACAAACAGCAAAAACAGCAAACAACACCCTCCCCCTGACTTGTTTTTTTCTTCACTTTTTCTAAATGCATCGCTGGCTGCAAGCTGGTTTGCTCGCTGCTTTCGCGGGTAGTCTTGCGGTTGCAAACGAGTTCCCCCTGGTATGTCTGAGCTCCCTCACATATCCCGGCATTGTGGCAGATCTTTCAGAACGAAGAAGAGTACTAATGGATCTGATCCGATGGGATAGAAGAGTGGGGATGAAGAACAGCAATGTTCGGGAATGTATAATAAGAAGGCGTGGGGCGGAAATGTTGATCCTGCTATCACAATCAAGTTCACGCCCCATGAGGAGGATCATTCTATCAGTTTCATCATCTTCGAGTGGAGCGATGAAGAGTATCTTGGGCGGTATCCTAGCGAGGACTCTTTCGATGTGTGTTTTCCCTGCGCGGTGCTTTAGTTGTTGTGGAGGCGGAGGGCTAATGATGATCGGAGGGAATTGTAGAAAAAGTACATCTGTACCGACGAGTCTGTCCGCGCGGAACTCTGCAATTCGACTGACGTCGGCAAATTCATACTGGGACCGGAGACAAATAGGAGCTCTACTGGAAGTATAGTCAATATGAGACTCAACCTGAAGGAAGTCAAGCCAATTTTGTATCCGATCAAGCGGACGGGGTATTACTGTGTTTGGTCAAACGCTTTCTCTCCCGGTGATCTCAAGTACGATGGTGTTGTTACCTTCCAGAACTCTTATGGAGAGCTACCGGCGTCACAGATTGCGAAGTTGCCATTCTACGGAGGTCTTACAATTGTGTATGCGCTTATTAGTGCCCTGTGGGCATTCTTGTATGTGCAACATCGGAGAGATATTTGTGAGTTTGGTTTTTTGGGGACAGGCAAAAAGGGAAGTGTGCTAATGAAGAACAGTGCCGGTGCAAAACTACATTACGGCGATTTTGATCTTCCTGATGCTGGAAATGCTGATCACTTGGGCATTCTACGACTACATGAATGCTCACGGATCTAACGCTGGCGCTAAGATCTTGATGGTTGTCGTCGCAATTTTGAACGCCATAAGGAACTCATTCTCATTCTTCCTGCTACTCATTGTGTGCATGGGATATGGTGTCGTGAAGTAAGGCTCTATTATGGCAGAAAGTGGATCGGCGCTAACCTGATGGAAAGGCCGAATTTGGGCGCCATGATGAAGTGGGTGCGGATCCTAGCTCTTGCTCATTTCCTCTTTGGCATGGTTTACGCTATTGCCTCGTTGACCATCACACCCGATAATGCCGGCCCTCTCGTCATGCTCGTCATTTTGCCACTTGCCGCAACTCTTACAGCATTCTACATCTGGACTCTTAATTCACTCAAGCTTACCATGAAGGATTTGCTCGACCGCAAACAGAACGTCAAATTGCTCATGTTTAAGCGCCTCTGGTGGGTGCTTGTCGGGTCCATCATGGTCATCTTTGCATTCTTCTTCCTTAACTCTTTCACATTTACCCGTCATGGCTCACCGGACTTTGTTCCTACACACTGGAAGACCAGATGGTTTGTCCTTGATGGCTGGCTCAATCTGGTCTACCTTGTCGACTTGTCTGTCATTGCCTATCTTTGGCGCCCAACCGCTAACAATCGCCGATTCGCCATGAGTGACGAATTGGCCCAGGACGACGATGGATTCGAGATCGCAAGTATGGTTGACTCTGAGGAGGGTGGTGATGAAGAGATGGGAACTGGTACCCGTAACCCCGAGGCTTCTAGGCCGTTGCAGCCTGCACAGTCGTCCCCGGCAACAAGGCGGTCGTTGGATAGGAGAGATTCAGTAGAAGGCGAGACGATGTTCTCTGTGGGGGAAGATGACCGGTGGACTGGAGATGAAGATGACAGCGATGATGATGACGAGGAGTCAAAAAAGGGGTTGACGGGGAAGAAGGAATAGATCTCCCTTAAAATTGGGGTCGCAAGGGGAGCGAAGGTTTTGTGTTTTCAAGTATTTTCTTAGGGTTATGTGTTTTTACTCTGTTTCGATTGCTCAAATGTATTATGGTTGGGTGGGTCTCAGGTGTTGAACGGAGTGAGATGTGATATTAGTTGTGACCTCTGGGCAAGGTTTCTCGTAGGTCTGTGGATTCTAGAACCTACTAGATTCTCTCGGCGCTGAACTAGCATACGGTAAGATACGGCAGTGGCTCAGCCTATAAACACGAGTGTGTATCATACCAGCGCGTGCCAAACACCCACCCCCACGCCAAGGCGGGATCTCCGCAGCAACTTGAGCCCCACCCCGCCAACATCACCATCCCCGCTATCCCTCCTTCATCTGCACCTCCCACCTCTCAACCCCACCTCTCCCAGCATCACCAACACTCCATCAAGCAGCCACAATGCCCCGCTCTTACCCTGAAGATATAATAGACTCAGACTCAGACGCCGACTCCCCAAACCCGCTCGCTGCAGCCCTCGTAACCCGCGCCCACAGACTCCTGGACTCTCTCGAGTCGCTGCAAACTCACCTGCACCGCCACTCGCTAACAAAAGAAGTTGAAATCCGACCCTTCGCGACCTCGCTGCGTAGCGAAACGCGCACGCTTGAGGCCCTTGCGGCTACCCCGCCCACCCCAGAATCCACACACTCCCTGCGCAGTTCGAACTTGAGCTACCTGGAGACCGTGTGGAAATGCGCACGTGCGCAGGTGGGCGTTCGTGGGATTTGTCAAAGCTTCGGGTTCGTTGATAAGGAGGGCAGGGGGGGGGATCGGGGTGGTGAGGGCTCTAAGGAGAGGAAGGGCAAGAAGGGGAGTGTTTGCGTGGATGTGGTC